TGCGCATCCTTATAAAGGCTTGTCAGTCAGTTTGAAACATCGGTCACGTGACCGATACAGGAACTGTTTCGGTCACGTGACTTTTCCGTAGCGAAACACACGTCGACACAGGTTTCGCTCTATGAGACAGACACATGCGCCAACGCATCGGTGTTGCCCGACCCATCACTAGTATTATGCAACCTCCCCACTTAGTTGAATGCATATCTCTAATCTTGTTCAAATCGGATTTCCATAAGCTAAAAGTGTATTTCTGTAAAAAAGATATAATGCAACCCATTTGGTCAGACTTCTTTGCTCTGACCATCTGGCTAGGTGAACTCTTTCTGGTAAATGAGGTTACTACCTGTGCACACCTTCCAAGCCCAACTGACTACCAAATTTTTTACTGTCTCTTGTACAGTAGTTATTTTGGGTAGACAGTCTATCAAATTGATACAATTTAGTGGTATTTTGCTGAAGAAATGTTTTGTAGGCCATGGCATTATTGACCTGTCATCCAGTGTATGCCAAGGGGAATCAAAATCTTGCATTCGAATCCAAAGCCGGACAACTGTGTTTAAGGAAAATCCATTTTATCCCTACCATGACAATGACTTTTTCTGAATTTAGTGAAAGAAAAGTTTTGGAAGACAATCATCTCTTATTTTACCTCAATACACAGAGTGCGAAATACGGGTGGGTCCGGGGGGGCTCGACCCCCCCGATTAACCCATGAGACCCCCTGAAAGCCTCAAAAGCAAAATTTAAAGGGGCTCTTAAACTGTATAATAAAAATATTTTTTGTCACTAATGGTAACTAAAAGTTTTTAAACTCAACATGTCCAGTATTAAAATTCAATACCTTTATTCAAAAATATGTCCTGTTTTTTGTCAAGTGGAGCCAGCCAATCCTGTTGGCGTATGCAAATTAGCCATATGCTTTTCCACTTTTAATAACACTGTCAACGCGGAACAGATTGCGCAAAGACAGCAGGTCTTCAATCCTGTTTGTGGACCTCAATGGAACTCCTCTGGACAAATTTGTCCCAGTTCCAAAGCAGGACATATGCGTGCATGAAAGAGAGAGACAGACAGAGAGACAGAGATTGAGACAGACAGACAGACAGTCTTCGTGCGTGTGTGTGTTTTCATAGACTGACTGTCTGTTCAGGCTCTTGCCCGCTCCACCAGATTCACAGAAAGCTTCATCCACCAAGCTGTCAGGAAGCTGAGCCCCCCTCCAAAAAAAAAATCACTCTGGACAAACTTTCTCCTGCACTATTATTAATACTATATTTATTTACTGTTCTTTTGCACTGTTACTGTTACAAATGCTATATCTTACATAATTGGTAATAATAATAATAATATTTTTTTCTGCTGCCATTACCATCTGCATTTTTGCACTAGCATAAGTATTGCATATTTTATATTGTTGTACATTTTATATTTTATAGTGAAATTGAAGGTTTCAATTTTAGTATTAGGAACTGATCTTATCTGTTGTGCCTGTGCACTTTATCTGTTTCACTGTTGGTGAATGAGAAACGTCCTATCGAGTCCTTGTATGTCTGGTGAATGTGAAGAATTGACATTAAAGCTGACTTTGACTTTGAAATGTTATAGGCCTACTGCATATTGAGAAAATGTAGATTGGTATTGCGCAGCAATCGGGAGATGGGGACCCCCCCAAATATTGACAGGTATTTCGCACACTGTTGAGAAAGCCACCAAAAAATCTGTTTGTTACATACGGAGCTTTTTCAGCTAAAAATGGCAACAGATTGTACCTTTATACAGGTTAAAAAAGCTGGCCTTCTCAGAGGACCATTACTCAGAGTTACAGATTAAAATGAACAAATATATGTTGTTTTCTTAGTGAACAGAGAATCAGACTATAGACATGGTTCCTACAGCATAAGGCAAGTTAAATTCAAGACTTTTTAAGACTTTTTAATGCCACTTGAAATAAAAATTGAAGACCAAATTCACAAGAAACACAAGAAAAACCAGCTTGCGACAACTTAACCCAAAGGTTTATTTTAACATAAACCACTGCACTAATGTTTCAAATTTTGAAAAGCTTCCCATACAGGAAGAAAGCTAAAAACACACAAATGACAGATATATTTTAACAATTATTTAACTGAATTCACAAACTTTGTTTTAGCAGGGAACAAAACAAATCAGTGTTAAAGCCACAACATAACCAGTGCTAAGTCTTTTTTGCAGCTATTTTTCTTTGTATCATTTTCTTAGTATGTTTGATTTGGTGATAAGTGGAGGCGTTGCAGAGACAAGGGTGGAACAAAACTGAGAAATACCGGCTGTTTCTCGGTAACTCCATTTTGACGCTTTGTGTTTCGCGCTTCACATTTGCGACTCCACTGCCTTAATTCCCATCGTTCCGAGCTTGAATCGCTTCTTGCACAAAATACACTGTGCCTCATGTATGTTCCCTGGTTTTAGCCATGGAGAAAACTCTTGACTGGAGCCAATTTTTGTTACATTTACACTTGCTCATATTTTCCAGACAAAAAGTTAACGGTGCATCTCCCAAATGTCCCGGCCGTAACAACGTTTTTATTGGTTCCGCTATCGGGACAGAACCAGTAATGGCGAGCCATTATTTTTTTTAATAAAAAAAAAATTATAATTGTCAATTTTAACGTTTTATTTAGATTACAAAAATAAATCGTAAGAAAAATAATCCTATTTATGATGTAAATTAAGACCTATGAAAGACTGATTTAAGACATTTTAATACCAATTAAGGCCTTAGTTTTATTTTGAAGTATTCAATGCCTTTAAAGACTTTTTAAGGACCCGCGGGAACCTTGGTAAAGCTTCTAGATATCTTGAAAATGATTTTCTCTGGCATCATTATATTGGTAGACAGGTTCATAAATCTAAATACTATAAATGTCATTGTACTGTGGTTCTCTTGTGTTCAATAAATATATGTTTGAGCTCATTTTTGGAAAGCCTTTGAAAGCATTGGGATGAGTAGCTGTAGTAGGTCCATCAGCCACCAACATTTATTGCAAAGCTGCTTTATGACACACACAAAAAACTACTTTTTATTTCAATTTGAAATATTTGTATTTTTAAATAACCAGATAACCATTATTTTATGTCTAAGAAAATGAAAAGATCTAAAACATACAAAAAACACTTCATAGCATTAAGGTCCTGTTTTTTAACCACATTAATAATAAAAAAAAAAAAATCAAATAAAATCAAAACCCTTGTTTTATTAAAACGTTTTGGTCTCTTTAGTTTCCTAAAAGTTGAGTTTTCTCATTAAAATAATTGTGCTGGAAGTACTATGCCGCTTTCTTGCATAAACCCCCCAAAACAAAACAGGGAAAACTGTGTCATGCGCAGGTAAACATTGTGTTCTTTCTATCGCTGTGTCTAAAAAAGCCTGTTCATATATGGACATCCGGTGCGACTGGGACACCTGGTAGGTAGCATACGGTCGTTTGGTGCATGGCGCGTGTTTTGAAGCTGCTTGTGGAGAAATGTCCTGGGCCGTGAGTAGTGAGGAAACAGGAAGCGATTCTTGTGGGATGGAAGAGGGAAATAGTGACAATGAAGGTTGGAAGATAGCAACATCAAAAAATGAGAAAAAGCAGAAAAAACAGAGATCAGTTAAAGGGGAATCTAGTTCAGAACAATCCAGTGATGATCAATCCATACATTCCACAGCACAACAAAATGAATTCAAAGTCGTTAATCAGGCAGACTCTTTTACAAATTGGAATCCGGTTAACTTAACAAAAACCATCAATAAACTTGTTGGAGAAGTCAGAGGTGCCAGAATTCTGTACAGTGGAGACCTGCTAATTAACTGCAGAGACAGCGCCCAGCAAGGCAAAGCAATACGAATCAACAAAATTGACGGGATAAGAGTTCAGTGCAGCCTATTGGAGAACAAAAAGATCAGCAGGGGAGTCATTGGAGGAGTTCCTCTAAAAATTTCTGATAAAGAGATTCTGGAAAACATAAGCGGTGCAAAAGTAAAAGAAGTAAAACGGTTAAAAACAACAAGAAACGGAGAAAGATCTGACAGTTTATCGGTGTTAATTAAATTCGAGGAAGAGCAATTACCAAGCAAAGTATTCATCGGTTACATCAGCTATAATGTCAAAATCTACAATCCTCCACCATTGAGATGTTTCAAATGCCAAAAATTCGGACACATTGCAGCAGTTTGTAAAGGGAAACAGAGATGTGGAAGGTGTGCAGGAGAACACGAATATGGTAAATGTGGAAAAGAAGCTAAAATAAAATGCTGTAATTGTGGTGGAGAACATACTGCTGCTTATCGCGGCTGTGAAGCAAGCAAAAGGTCTGAGGAAATAAAAAAAATGAAATTTGAGCTCGGAATAACCTACGCTGAAGCTGCAAAAAGGATCCCATCTCAGTCAGAAAAACCCAAACCTACAGTTCAACACACGGCAAATTCCAAACCTCTAGAGAAATCTCCAAAAATTGACGAAGACTCACTAATTGTTAAAAAAACAAATTTTGTTCTTTTCATGGTGGAAGTGATTAATTGTACTGCACAAACAACAACAAAAAAACAGAAAAAATAAAAATAATAGTGAAGGCTGCAGAAAAATATCTGGACGTAAAAGATTTGAACTGGGAGATGGTTGGAAGCATGATGGGAGGACCGATGGGACCATCAGAAACTGACAGATTTACGATGACCTAGAGTAATTTAAAATTATATGGGCAAATGTGATTTAGTATTATGTGGGTTTAAGTTACACAGGGTTTTTTTTTTTTTATTATTATTATTTTTTATTTATTTCTTTCTTTTTTTTTGGGGGGGGGGGGGGGGGGGGGGGGGGGTGAATCGTTTCCTGTTTCCTTGCTTTACTCCATATCAGTTGGTGGCGGTAATGCACATTTCACAAGTTTGCCAATCGCCATAAAATCTCATAAGAAGAAGAAGAAGAAGAAGAAGAAGAAGAAGCAGACTGGGACACCTGGTGACACCTGTCGGAGGGGGCGTGGCTACAGCACCCTGCAGCGCTGGCCGGGTGTGGTTCGGCTTGTTTTCAGCAGCGGCTGCAGTTTCAGCTAAGAGCTTCCAGAGGAGAGGTCATTGAAAGCAGCAGGTGAGTTCAAAGCTGTCAAAGTTCACCTGTTTAAAGCTGCTTTTGTTTAAACACTCGCTTTATCAGCGGGTTTAGAGGCTGGGGAGCTTTTTTTTTTTTTTTTTTAAATCTGCCGGCTGTGTAGCTTTATTGTCCCCAGATTTAATGTGAAAATGTTTATTGAAACTGTGTGATTTTTACATTTTAATTGTTGGTTTAGTTATTTACTCTAACAGGAAACCTCTGTGTATCTAGTTTGTATTTTTTAACCCCCAGTAGATTAAGCAGTGATGTCCTCCAGACCCAAAGGGAGCCCCCCTCCATATGATGAGGATCATGAGTTGTAAGTTTTTATTTTGTATTTAAAAAAAAAAAAAAAAAAAGAAGAAGAAAAAGCTTTTAATGTTGAAGCTATGCTTTCCCCTGGAATTTATGTAAATAATAAAATATCTCAAAAAGATAAAATCCAGTGTAAAATGTGCGTAGACCTTTTGTTCTGCTGGGAAGTTTTTGTTCATTGATTTACTTGTTAAAGGGAACAGAAAGATTTACTGCTTTAAATCTGTTTAATTATGGCTCCATTTATTTATTTACATAAGAGATCAGAACCAGACGGAGGATTAATATTGCGTTATTTCCACAGCTCCTTGAATGTAGGCAGTTTCTGTATGGAGTGAATGATGTTTGAGTAAGCAGAGAACATGCTTTTCAATGGAAATAGGAATGTAATCCAGAAATGACACTTAAAACATGTTTTTGAGAGTAACTTTGTAACTTCTTAGATTTATTTCAAATTCTTTTTTTCAAATTTGATTTTCATACCATTTTTTTCAATGTTAAATTTTTAAAAGCATTTTTTTGTATTCATTTTTATTGATTTCTTTTTTTAAATTTAGTTTTTTTTCTTTTTTAGTCAAGTTTTCTAATTGTAGTCTTTTTAAATCGCCTTTCATAGAACACATTCTCTACTCTTTAAGCCCATTACAAACGCTTACTGTTGATGCTGTGTTTTGAAGTAGAGAACAACAGTCGTTCAGTTTGATATATAGACAACTTCCTGATTCACATATTTTATAAAACACCTGAACTGACTATTTGTTGTCTTAATGAGAGCAGTGGGCTTTAGGCGGCCCTGCAAGGCTTTAAACCTGGGTTTGAATGGAGACAAAGCCATTCTAAAGGACATATCAAGGTGCTCATTTTGAGCCTGGATCCTTATTTATTTTGCAGCCCAGACTGACAGCAGCTCATTGGCTAATTTGTATCACGTGCCGGACGATCCGGAGGGTTTTACCGTATTAACAGGAGAAGCGGCGCAATTGAAATTAGACACTGTCGTCGGCAACATGTGAAATTTTCCACAATACACCTTGAAAAGTAGTAATTATCCATGGTCACTAGTAGACGAGCTGATATATCCCAGATTGCTTTGCGAGAGCTCTCCTCGGAAAGCATCATGGACTTTGTTGTGACAGTGGTGATAAAAAAAAAAAAAAAGATGGCGCAGGCACCATGTGGAGAGGTGGAGTTATGTGAGCAGCGGGGATTGAAAAGCAGTGATCATCTCTCCCAACGGTCAGTTAACTGAGTTCACTATAAAGTCCACTATATTGTTCCCTGTTCTATATAGTGATTGAGGCATATAGGGGTTAGGGCGAACGTTCGGACACAGCCTAGATGTTCTGTAAAGCTCAATAAAAAAAAAAAATACTATTAGTAAAACTTAATCTGAAAAAACTAATTTGAAATGAAATGAAATTAACAACTGTGTAAGAAAAAAAGTTTATACCTGTTCAAAGTGTACCCTGCCTTTCGCCCATAGACCGCACTGGGATGCAGTTTAAGTGGGAAAAGATGAATGGAAATTTGGAAAAAAAGAAAAAAACAAAGTTAATCTCAAACTTTTTTTTATAAACCGTTTTTTAAAGTTGCTATTTAAAAAAAAAAAAAATTCAATTCACAATGTTTATTTGCCTTCGAATTTCCATCTACAGATATGTTCTATGTTTGCTACAACTATAACTAAGCAAAACTCCCTCTATGCAGCTGTTGCTAAATAAAATAAGGAGTTTGTGATTGGATTTGGATCAAAAGTTCTTTGTGTCTCTTTGCAGCAATGGAGTTCCTCAGCCAGCCTATTCTTACTACCCTGATGATGAGTTCCATCACTTCTATCGCTGGTCGTCGCCTCCGGGAATCCTTAAAATCATGGCCATCATTGTCGTTGTTCTCTGTGTGGCCATCTTCGCCTGCGTTGCCTCCACGCTGGCGTACGACAGTCAGGGGGCCATGTCTGGCTTCGGAGGGATGTATGGAGGAGGAGGAGGAATGTATGGAGGAGGGGGGTACGGCTCCAGCTTCGGAGGTGGTGCCTATGGAGCTGGAAGCAATTATGGATACGGTTCGATTGGGGGGAACTACAATGACCCGCGGTCAGGAAAAGGCTTCATGATAGCAATGGCAGCCTTCATCTTCGCCATAATCGTCTTCATCATCGTCGTGTCTCATCAGAGCCTGTCACAGAGCAGGAAGTTCTACTTGGCAGTGTTGATCATCTGTCCCATCTTGGCTCTGCTCATGCTTATTGCCACCATCGTGTACCTGGTGGCGGTGAACCCCACAGCCCAGTCCTCAGGGTCGGTTTATGGCAACCAGATCGCTGCTTTGTGTGCTCCGTACCAACAACAACAAATGCAAGGAGTACTCATGAACCAGTACCTTTACCACTACTGCGTGGTGGAGCCGCAAGAGGTAACAGTCCTGTCCTTGGTACCATCCTGAGACTGTGCGTGGGAAGTCATTTTAAACCCTTTCCTCTGTTTCAGGCCATCGCTGTGGTGTTTGGCTTCCTGGTGACCGCAGCTTTGATTATCATGCTCGTCTTTGCCCTGAAGACTCGGCAGAGGATCCAAAAGTACGGCAAAGGCAACATCCTGTGGAAGAGAGTAAAGATTGTGGACGAGCTTTCACCTCCGGAGGATGTCGAGGCGTGGGTGAGTATCGCAGTAATCCTCACTTTGCACATTTTAAAATCAAACAGCTTTCAGGCGGGAGGTTCCCAATTATTTCAACCATCAATCCATTTTCCTACGCTTATCCCAAGCGGGGGTCATGAGGGTTGCTGGTGCCTATCTCCAGCTGTCTATGGGCGAGAGGCGGGGTCTACCCTGGACAGGTCGCCAGTCCATCGCAGGTCAACACAGAGACAAACAGGACAAACAACCCTTTTACGCACACACTCACACCTAAGGGGACTGTAGAGAAGCCAATTAACCTAACAGTCACGTTTTTGGAATGTGGGAGGAAGCCTGGGTACCCGGAGAGAACCCACGCATGCACTGAGAGAACATGCAGAAAGAAACTGGGCCGTTATAGGTACCAGATCTGCTCGGGGCCCCGCCGCTTCTTATGACGCCATGACCGAGAATCGAACACAGAACCTTCTTGCTGCAATGCAGCAGAGCTGACCACTGCCGCACTGAACAGCCCTACACTTCAACCTTTGACCCCCAAAAATAACCAGTTAGCAAACTGGGGCCTGCCCTAAAATACATTGTGCATTTTACAATATAATGCTATATTTAATTAATATTTGAAAATATATTATTGTGGCATGATCTGTGATGTATATGGGGGACCTAAGCCTAAATTAATATATTAAATGGATAAATGTAAATGTTCCATATAATAAGTAAATTAAACATTGTTTTATTTATCTTATTAAATATTCAAATACTAGATTTAACATTAAAATGTAAAAATGCGTCATTAAATAATTAAAAATACATTTGAAATTATAAGTTAAATCTAATTTGGAAAAATTACATTTATTTTTAAAATGAGATCCCCTGCTCTAAGGAGCAGACACCGTTTTTTAAATTTTTTTCAGCTACAGTGCTTGGGGAAAAATTGCCCATTTAGCATATCTGTTGGGGAAATGGAAAACAGGTTTGTTTTTGCTCAGAGCGCAGAAAAGAGGAACATTTCTTTTTGTTGTCATTACAAGACCTCCATTACAGCTCAGCACCAGACGCAGACATTATTGCTCCTTTAAATTCTTCTTCTTCCAATGACCATAACCAAAAAAAAAAAAAAAAACACAGCAAAAGCCGTCTAAGAATCAATGCTATGAAAAAAAAGCTTTGACTTTTTTCTAATTTTTTTTTTTAAATATATCTTTTTGCCACATTTCAACTTTTCAGATAGTAAAACAAACTTTGATACTTAACCAAAAATCCTGGGCTAAAGACATATGCAGGTTTGGTTATTAAATAATACATTTTTTTTATCTGGATGGAATAAGCATATGTCCACCACATATTGCCATATGTGGAGAAAGTATTTTCCCCTTTGAACACAATAAACGGATCATCTTAAGGTCTATAAATGTTGGACCTTTGTGTTCTTTTTGTTCAGCAGTGTTTTTTCACCATGGGGAGAAAAAAGTACTCCTATGACTTAGAAGTAAAAGTTGACTTTTTGTAAAGAAAATTAGCTCCTTTTGTGTTTTCCAGCTTCTTTTATTGGACAAGTTGCCATTGTGCTCTTGGCGTAATTGTGTCAGGTCAGCTACTACTGCAAGGGTCATATTTTGCCCATTTATAAATAATGACTCACTGGGAGCCTTAGAAATGCTGCAGCTTTTTACCCCTCTGACATCATGGTCCCTTGTCTGGAGTTGAATGTCTTTGGATCAGAGCAAAATGTATCACTTTTTTTCAGTTTAAATGTCAATCTGTTTAATGTTCTGTTTAACAAAGCGATAAAACGGGTTTGGCAATAATCAGACGTGGGCGTGGCTAGAGAAGTTAAACCAAAAACACTGTAGGTTATTCAGCTGATGCACTGTTTATCAAGCAGGGTAGTTACATAATGTTAACTTCCCTGAATAAATAAAAAAAATGATGAACTGAAACAAATTTTTGTCTCCAACTATTAAAATGTACCACTTTAACAGAAACCTGAAACAGCAATTTAAAGGAAAAAATAACTGGAGAAACCAGAGAAGGGAAATGTGAATCTCATATAATGCACAAAAACAAATTCCTCTTTCTTCTTTTTTTTTTGTGCCGAGTCATCATGTTGGGAAGGATGAATTCAATTCAAAATAACTTTACTAATCCCAAAAGCAAAATTCAGTACAAACAGTGATAGATGTACAAACAATGCAATGATCCTTTTCTGTTTTCCAAGCACAAATAAACTTACAGTAGTAGCCATTCTAAATTTCCCCACTTTCCTTGATGGGCCCTTGGCCGGTCCCCTACAATTCCTTTTTAAGCATCAATCTTTGTACTAAAATATTATTTCTGTTATAATTAGTTGACATTAAGATTTAAAGAAATGCTTCATCTCCTGGCCAGACTCTGTAAGTCAGTGAAAGGGTGGAGTCAGAGTAAAGAAATATGCAAGACGGGCTCACTCTAGTAGCTGGAGGGGATTTTACTGGGAGTTTCAGGGAAGTGGGCTGTTATTCAGCTGGCGTTTGACTGGGAAGGGCCATTTTGAATGGCTGTTACTTTAAATCCTCTTTTCTTTTCTTTATTTTGGTTCCAGAGCTGAAGTAAACCGGATAAGGAAATGGTTGTGGGGGGCATTTTATGATTAAAACTGATAACTGCAGGAGTTTGATGGGTTTTTACCTCAGATACTTTTTCAGGTTAAACTGGCCTGATTTAACTTCATCTAATGGTCGTCTAATAATGAAGTTATATATGTGGCTGAATGGAATCATTCAAACCGCTGCTTCCTTTTTCTGCCTTGCTAACTTTGGGACCTTTTCGATGCCTAAACGTTATCAGAAGCTCAGCTTCAAGTGGCTCTTTCTAGAAAGAATCCACCATCTGTCGCTCCTCAGCAGTAAAGGAAGTGGAGACAAAGTGGTAAAACCAGTTTAGGGACAGTGTTGTGTTCAGGGATGAGAGAAGGCGGGGCTTAAACTCCTTCCATCTACAGTTTCAAGGTGCGGCATGCTGACTGATAACAGTTTCACTCTCACAGGCGGCCAGGCAAACGAGAGGAGGCCACATTCTAAACATACTACTGTGGAGGTTTTCTGAAATGTCTCTATTTGCTGCTGACTCATGATTTATGATTAGATTTTTCTTTCTTTTTTTTAAAATATGTTTCACAACATTATAGAGTGGAGCAGCAGTGAGTGTGAGTCAGTTGTGCTTGGAGTCATGATGACATTCAGCTCCATTTATAGAGCAGTAAACAGGAAGAGCAGGTCCGACCGCTGCTCTGTTCCACACGGCTCAGCAGATCCTCCAACAGGACCAAAACTTTACCAAGAACCCGAGACTTTTTCCTCACAGCTGCTTGTGGGAACCTGTCGGAAAGTGCATGTGCAGGGCCTTTTGCAGACCTTGCTTGTTAGCTGTTGTTTTTGCAGGGTGTATCCCAGCTGTGGCGCACAGACGACAAGTCTGTGCGGGTGTGTCATACCAGAAATGTCAGAGATTCAGTGGATCTACTGGAGCAGACATGCGTTAAAGTGGTCGTTCCTGAAAGTAAATTTAGAACAATGAACCTGATATCTACAACGATCTTCTTATATCCTTTTTTTATTTACATAAATTAGATTACCCAGCCTGCAGCATCCACAATGATACAGATCTTTGTTTTTCCTTAAAGGTGAAAACATTTTTCCCAGCCTCATTTCTTGTCTCAAGAGACATAAACAGCTTCAACTAGAGACTAACCCTTTATAGGGCACTCTGTGAAATACTTTGAAAACCAAATTTTCATGCCAATAGTGTTAATGGAATCCAGGATAAGACCTTATTACCCTTGTAAAAATATGGATATTTTGATGGCAAAAATTAATGTTAATGTAAAAACAAGAAACGCCAACTTGCCTGAATATATTAAGAAAAATAACAAAAGTGCTTCTATAAGAAATTTATAAAAAACATTCTGAGAGTAAAAGAAACACACTTTTTAACTTTTCAATTAGTTTTTTTTTTTTTTAACTTAATATCCAGTTGCTAATATATCATTCAAGGGCTCATCTAATTGGTCAAATGCCAAAATAAGATGTACAGCCATGTAGCAGGGTCTTTGCTGAATGGCTGGACATAGATCTTGTGCTTCTAGATCTCACTGACGGACGAGGGGTATGCAAGTGATCAAAAACGGTAACTTGGGCTAAGGAAGAGGCTGTAATGTTTTGGGTTAGATATCACCTCAAGAGAGCATTTGGAGACGCTAGTCTCTGGATTTCTGCAACATTCATTTGGGTGTTAGCAGGTCTTTAATCAGATATCTGCTTGCTGGAGGTCTAATAACCAAAACACACAAGTTTAGGCTGATTTAGTTAAATTTATTGGCTGCACCTCCATCTTAGGATCCATTTTTATTCATTTCTAGGTCTTTAAATGTCCTTCCCCCTCTTAAGCCCTATAGCACCTCGTTCTAGCCTGAGCTCAGATCGTATGGAGTAAAATGTAGGACGACATCTGGTCTTAGGTCTTAAGAAAAACAACAAAACTGTCGATAAAGAAATGTTCAAATGTTTGAAGGCTATATCCAGAGTATCCCATGATTCATTGTCGGTCAAAGCAGATTAATCAAGCTCTGACAATGATGGCAGAGATGGGCAAAGATTGAGATGAGAAAAATGATATATTAGGCTTTCTTTGATCCTAAATCAACATCTAAGGTGTTCACCATCTGAAAATGTAGCTAATATTTGCTGAGTTTGTCAAGAATTGGCTTAATTTAGGAAAATGGCTCCTTTGTTTCCCTTGACTTGATACTTTTAGGTATTCTAACAACTTTTTTCTTGAGTCCTGCTTGTCCTAAACACTAGAATAATCAGCCATCTACCGTCATCATTTTTCCCAACCTTTTTTGTTTGTTTTTTTAAATTGGCCTTTAGGACTCTGTATTATAAACACAATATCCCTTTTTTTATTTAAATGTATTTTTTTTTAATATTCTATTTGACAATAATGGGATTCTGATTAAGTTGGTATTAAATTTTGTCTGTTTCAATTTTTTTAATGTAGAATCTTATTGGCTCTGTTGGTCTATAGCTGCACTTGTACCAATGCAGCACTTTGGCCTTTTGTGTTTGTTTTGAGTGAAGGTTTATGATTATTATTTTTTTAAACATACATATATAATTTTCTTGCCTAATTAAGCTATAATTTAAGAGAAGCCACAGTGTTGCTCTGGCTAATGTTGTTTTAAATTCAGCTTCCTGAATAGCTTTGCTTACATAACGGCAGATTTGGGTTTAGATTTGACTTGTCGTTCGTTTTATAACAAACTTCATGGTGTCTCCAGTGTATCATACTTGGATGACACTCCCAACAGCTACTGCTTTGCTTTCAATCCCATAACAATGAAGGACTGTTTCAGGTGTTTTCTAAACAGCTTCCAGGAAAGGTCACATGACAGAAAGACGAGGAGAGGCACGCTCAATACAATCTCATTCAGTGTGAACATCATTGTGATAGTTAAAAAAATAAAACAACTTGTAAACTGATTGTTAATCCATTATTTGTGGCATTATGGCTCTTAGATGGTGGAGCTGACCGAGTTAGTGACATTAGACCTATGATTGATATTTGTAGCTTAGCTTTATCAGGGAATTCTCAATAGAAATCTAATAACCAGGAGACTTATCCAAATGTTGGTGTTTATTAATTAAATATATGGATAAATAAATGTAATGAAGATGCAAATGAAATAAATCTAAATTAAATGCAACATAGTTGTATTTAAATAGTATAAATCCCCCTAGTGGGTTTGTGGAGGTACTGCAGGACTGGTTGTTGAAAGAAATTGTGGCCCGATTCTTGAGAAACAGTTATTGGATCATTTGACAAGCTTTTCTTAGTTATTGTTTTATTCAAAATAATTAAACTTGTTTGTTTAAAAGCATTAAAATAAAGTTGTAAACTTCCAAACTTTCATTTATTGTCAAAACCTTAATAATATTTGTTGTTTTAATCTTTCATAAAGGTGAACAATGTGTCCGTTCCCCCTGAAGAAGCTCCCATGGCAGACTATCCTGAGAGGCTGAGAGGCTCCAGGAGTTACCTGGATGACGAGAGCAACTATGACAAGCCTCCTTTGAACTACACCCCACAGTGAGTTTACTCACACTAATTTCTATTTAGCCCCATTTAGAAAAGAAAAGAATGTCTTTATGTGCATTTATATGAATACTTTTAATATATTATACTGTTACTTCATAAAATCCGGTCTCTAAAACTTTTGTTTCATGCATTTCTGGTATAATGTGAACGTATCGCATCACAGAGCGTCTGTGTGTGTGTGTGTGTGTGTGTGTGTGTGTGTACTTTTATATGTGACCTATTTAGGACCTTTTTAATATATTTGCTGACCTTCTGAGGACCAACAGGCCTTATGGGGACCAAAGGCTGTTTCTAATGCAGTAGATCCCCTTTTTTTCTGCCCTAGAGAGTCAGTTTAGGGTTATGGTGTGAACTACCTTTAGGTTAAAGTTAGGGTTAGGAATGCACTGATAAGGATTAGGCTTAAATGCGCTAACTAAAACCAATGAAAGTCGATGTAGAGCCTCCATGCGGAAAGAGAGAAATACAAACTCTGTGTGTGTGAGTGTGGATGTACCTGTGTAGCCAAGAGTGAGGACCATTTTTCCAGTTTCAGCATTGGACTCAGGACCAGTTGTTGCAAAATGAGGACATTTTGCTGGTTCTCACAAGCTATTTTGCTAACAGTTAGGTTTAATGCTAAGATATGAATTGGGTTAGGGTGAGGTATGCATTAGTAATGGTTAGTTTTAGGGTTAGGACATAGAAAGGGTTGAAAATGACTAAAAGTCAACACATGGTCCTCACTACATATAGCAGAATGAGTATGGGTGTGTGTGTGGAGTTGATGCTTGACAGTTGTGTCAAAGAATAAATATTGCAAGAGGAACTATGAAAATAGATTTGTGACCAAAACTAAGGAGACATGAGTCATACTTTCTTTTCACGGTGAAACTATGTGAGATGCTTCTGTGCTGATGAAGGAAGGTGACATTCTCTGGCCGAGGTTTTCTACTGGTTTAGACAAACTTGTGTAAAACTGGAAACTTAATAAGTAATTTTTTTCTTTGGTTATTCTTGTACGTGTTAAAATATGCTGGAAATAAAGATGAACTGTTTCTAAATCCTCCGTCTCGCAGACCTGTGGTTGAGAATCGACCTTTGCAGAACGGCGCTCCTTCTGGCAGCAGCTCGGAGCTCGCTAGCTCCTCAGGACGGCCCAAAAAGAGGCGCCCAGGACGGCCGCGCCGCGCCGACGGACAGGACTACGAAACCGACTACAACTCCTCTGGGGACGAGCTGGACGACAACGACTTTGACAGGTACTGGGAAAACCAACAGCAGCAAACCAAGTTGATCAGCAGTTGGTCTGATGGTCACCTTTTTTTTTTTTTTAGTGAGTATCCCCCAATAACAAGTGAGCAGCAGCGCAACAACTACAAGCGTGAATTTGACCGCGACCACCTGGAGTACAAAGACCTGCAGGCGGAGCTGGACACCATCAACAAGGACCTGTCCAATCTGGACAGAGAGCTGGACGAGCTGCAGGAGGGAAGCCCACAGTACCTGGTGAGAACAAATCACTATTTTATTCACTATTTTTCCCTCACAGGAGCATTCAGCATTGAAGACTTTACACTGGGCTACAAATCCTCCTTCTTTAACAGTTTAACACTTAGTTCAATGCTCATTTTTATGCTCTATATTTAATTGATTGGTTTGTCATTTACTATTATAAATTTATAATAGTATTGTATGTTTTAATTTTAGATTTAGGTTGTAATGATTGCTAATTTTATACACTAAACTCCTAATTCATACCAAACCCTAGTTTATGAAGCATTTACTTTGATAAAATTTTACATAACTTATGTGATTTTGTTCATAGTTATTTATTTATATTGTATTAAAATTAGCTGAAATATAAAAGATAAAATAAAACGGAACCTAAATATTTTCCTCAGATTCTCTCACTGCAAAAAAAATTGTAATCTCAATAAGCCATTTTTCTTAAAATAAGTGCATTTTTTCTTGAACTGAGGAGGCAAGTGAGACACTTTGTCAATGGAACAAGACAATTTACAATTAAAATAAGTAAAAAAAAAAACAAAAACAAAACAATTGCATTGTCTTATTTCAAGTGCATGTTATCTAATTATCTTATTTTAAGATTTAAAATACTCATTCCAGCGGCAAATACGTTTATTTACTGAAATTGAGGGTAAATGCACTTAATTTAAGGAGTTTTTACTTATTTCTGAATCATTTTTTGCAGTGCTGCAGACATAAGCAGAACATTTTGCTTATATACACAATGCCTTTCAGCTGCTTCAATGATTCTATAGAAATCTAGGCTAATCTTGAAAATGAAAGAATATTAGATATTTTTAGCAAACTAATTAAATCTTGAAATGTGTCTTTGCTTCTTAACAGGATGTCCTGGATGAGTACAACAAGATAAGGGCCCTTAAAAAGGTAGGAGTCATCATTAAGGCTATTATAAACAGCTCATTAGGATAGCATGGACACCAGAGGATGGATGCTTCCTTAGAATTTAATTTCTATTCAACGCAGCTTGATATGGACGACTTCTAGGGTCTTTTTAGTTTTAGTTTTTTCCTGCACAAACTGCCACTAACTCTGAAAGAATATATGTAAAGACTAAAATTCCACAGCAAATTACTTTCAAAGTTTTGTTGAAATAGTCACCAGCATCTTTAAAAGAACCACAAAGCAATTTTAATAGCTTTTCTTTACACACACGTACGAATGCATTGGAGATACGGTATGTTTGAAGAGCCTGAGATTAATTTTTCCTCTCTTGATTTCAAAGAGTCACAGTCAGTGTTTTTCTTTACAAAGCTTTACTATTTTCACAATATTAACTGAAGACTATTGCAAAGTTAAGCTTACCTTCATATTATGGAGCTAATAATTAGCTTTATAACCATGATTTCTGAGAACTGCTTTGCATCCTGTCAGCCAGTGTATGGCTGATGTGTAGAGGTATGGAGGACCAGGAGAGGTATGGAAAAAGAAATGCAACCATTTAAAATTTAAATCATACATTTAGAAATCCCATTTAAAAGTATTTTTGTAATTTCCGTCCTTAAATGAAATTATCCATCCATCCATTTTCTTCTGCTTATCCGGGGCCGGGTGGCGGAGGCAGCAGTCTAAGCAAAGATGCCCAGACTTCCTGATCCACTCACACCTCCTCCAGCTGCTCTGGGGGACCCCGAGGCAACACCAGGCCAGCTCAGAGACACAGTCCCTCCAGCGTGTCCTGGGCCTTCCATAAGGCTTCCTCCCAATGGGACATGCCTAGATAAACTCCCAAGGGAGGCGACCAGGAGGCATCCGAAACAGATGCCGCAGCCACCTCAGCTGGCTCCTTTCGACGTGGAGGAGCAATGACTCTACTCCGAGCTCCTCCTGGGTAACTGAGCTTCTCGCCCAATCTCGAAGGCTGTGCCCACACACCCTGCAAAGGAAACTCATTTGGGACGCTTGTATCATAATTTTGTCCTTTGAGTCATTACCTAGATCTCATGACAATAGGGTGGGAACGTAGATCGATAAGTAAATCGAAAGCTTTGCCCCCCGACTCAGCTCCATCTTAACCAAGACATTCCGATACAGCGTCCGCGTCACTGCCGATGCCGCACCAATCCATCTATTGATCTCAAGCTCCATACATCCCTCACTTGTGAACAAGACCTGAAGAGGGGAGTCCACCTTTCTCCAGTGGAGAACCATGGCCTCAGTGCACACTCTGGTGCAAACCACCCCAGTGCACAGTGGAGGTCCTGGTTTTATGAGGCCAACAGGACAACATCATCTGCAACAGCAGAGATGATATCCTAAGGTTGATTTAACAAGAATTTTAAATTGAGTTTATCAGTCAATTATTGAATATATTAATTTGAAAATATGTTTTAAAATCTCATTTCTAGATGGAGATTAAAACTCACCATTTAATGATTTGATTATAATTGCCTTTTCTCATCAAACATTTGTAACAACAACAGAAACGAACGTCCCATATCATGATGCCACCATTCTTCATGGATCGGTTCAGTTCCTGGATCGTCTGACCCCTTTTCTCTTTAATCCAGTCAGGAGCCACTTAAGCTCTTTATTTTGTTTTTTTATTTTTCTCTTTGCTTTGCACTATGGATGTTTTCTTTGATGCGCTGAAGCTGCTTCTCTGCCGTTTGTTATTCTTTCATTAATGCAAATGGTAGTTTTTGTCCCCGATTTTCCAGTTTGGGTTTCATTTTAAAATAATTTGAGTTCATTTTTAGCTGAGCTGTGTATAAACTTCTGCAGATATTTAACCTGCTTACTGTCATGCCCCCGAAACACCAGATGTTATTTAGACGTCGGTTTTTAGGTTAAATAAGCGTCATAGTCTTGATTTAGGCCAAAAATCACTTTCGAAAACTAGGCTGTGTTTGGTCAGTCTGATTTTGTCCCACTTTAGTCCAGAAGACATTACAAACCCAGATTTTAATGTCTTTTCAGCGATCTGAAAATTACAGTTTTTTTTTACTTTTTCCTTTTCAACCGAATATAGATGTTTCGATGTAAATCATGTCATCTTCACAATATCTTCTCAACCAGTTTTACTCAGTGGGTGTCTTCTTGTCTGCGGGACACATGTGGTGCCTTCAAATGTTCAGCCTCTTCCTGCCGCAAAATGACTGCCGTCTGCCATTAAAATGTTTTTTTTTTATGGCAGGCAAAAACCCCCTGAGGGTTAAAGAAAAACCTGATTTATTTATTTTTGACCAGTAAAGTGAACTATGCTCTTGTTTTGATCAATGTTTTTTCTTTCTTTTTAAGCACAATGCACAAATTATTTGCAATGGAGACTTGGGGGATTCCAGACAGGGGGCCACTACCCCTGTAGAAATTGTCACGTTTCCTTCTATGGCCCCTGTACTGAAGCTAAATACATCTCTTGTGGTGAAATGCTCTGCCACAGAACCGATAACTGACTAGTTTCTATGACGTGATCAGAAACAAATTTTATTTTCTACATTTCTGGTTTTATTTAAAAAATGATTTTAAATTTGTATTAATGCAGGGCCAAAATTTTCCTCCCCTATATCGGAGATCAGAGCTTCAAATGGCTCTTTGGCTTTACGTCTCTCTTAACCAAACAAAGAACTATTAGCTTTTCTTCAGGCTTTTGTTCTTTGGCCCCATGTATTAAAGGTTATTTTAAATAATGTTTAATTATTTCTAAATTTAAATGTATTTCTCACTATTTAAAGGGGCATTTATTAGTTTAATTGAGCTTTTAATGTAATATTTAAATCATGTTTTGAATGAATAAATGCATTTTTAAATAAAATGTAATTATATAATACATTTTTTAAACTTTTTTTTTAAATTTAATGGGACATTTAATTATTCTGTACATCAAAATTGATAAAACATATAAAATAGTTGAATAATTTATTGCCGGCATCCCCAAAGTCGGTCCTCTAGGGCCGCTGTCCTGCAGGTTTTAGAGGTTTCTGCTTTAGCACAGCTGATTATGATGATTGCAGCTCAGCAAAAGCCTGTTAATCAACTATCAATGAAAATCAGCTGTGCTGCAGCAGGGAAACCTCTAAAACAGGGGTCACCAACCTTTTTAAGGCTGAGGGCCACTTCAAGGGTACCGAGACTGATGAACGGCGACCATTACTGACCCATGAGCTGCAAGGGTTAGCGTTAGCCTAAACTTTGTTCATTATCAACATATTTTTATTGTTTCTGTTAATTTCTAAGTTTATTTAGACATTGTCATTTTGAAATCTCTATAAATGATTAAAAAGAAGAGCAACAGAATAAAATAAAATTTCAAACTTAGCCCACTGGTGGGTTGTTCTGCATTTAGAAGACTCTGAGGGCCCCCCATGTGGTCCTTGAGGGCACCTTGGTGCCCACGGGCACCGCGTTGGTGACCCCTGCTCTAAAACCTGCAGGAAGGCGGCCCTCCAGAACGACTTTGGGGATGCCTCATTTATTGGATAACTTGAAATTATTACAATATAATATAATATACACTGCTGTTCTTCTAAATCAGGGGTCAGCAACCTTTCATGTCCATAGAGCCAATTTGCCCTGATTCCAACCAAGTAAAAGATGTTTAGAGCCGCAAAGTAGATGAATTTTTAGAAAGACTATTTTTTTTTTATAGGAAATTAGTTGCCATCTTAAACAACCAACAATGCATGTATTTTTAGCTTTTAAAATAATATTAAAACACATAAATTTCAAGCTAATTAAAAGGAAAACGGCTCAAAGAACATATTTTTGATTCCTTTAATGTCCTTCTTCTCCATCTTATAAAAACCACTAAAGCTTTTAAGAATGGTATTTATTTTGTAGTATATTATTTAGTTCTTCATATACATTTTAGCCACTATTAAGAGCTGCTGTAGATGGTGCAAAAAGCCACATGTGACTCTGGAGCCGCAGGTTGCAAACTCCTGTTCTAAATGGAACTGTGTATTAGGTCTAGTAAGGCCTCTAATATGTTATAGTGACCTGTTGGGAATGTTTGTGTGTTTCGGTTGTCCTCTTTCTCTGTTGCTCTCGGCTCATATTATTTCCTTTTCTTTAGACTGCAGATTATCAAGTGAGGAAGCAGCGGTGTAAATATCTGAAGCACAAACTGAACCACATCAAGAAGATGGTCAGTGATTACGACCGCAGTGGCTGAACATCTGGACCGATAATCCTGTCCATCAGCGAACAGAAAGAACTCCTGAAATCCGGATGGACACTTGTGGCAGGGCAGCCTGCCACAAGTGTCTATGATGAACAACTAAAAGTTGGAACCGCATCGTCGTGTTTTAGCACCGCAGAAACCCTTTCTTTTTCTTGTATTTTGTCGTTGTTCATACCGTGAGTGATTATTATCACACATATTTATTGTCTTATTAAAGATTTTGCAGCTTTTATCTGGAGTGAACAAACAAACGCTATGTAATGCATAGTTTGGGTGGATTTTGCTGCAATGGATTCATCTTAGCTCATTACTTTCTTTAGTTTTATCATTTTACTGTACAATGACTGTAAATATGTGGAAACGGGTTTTGGTTTTTAAGGGTTCCTTGTTTAGCATAACAGTAAATGTCAAACACTGATCTATTTTTTCCTCTTTTTTTCCTCCAATTATTATTTTTTTTTATTTCTATAAAGCATTGTATTGAACACTTTTTAAACTAAGAAACACATTTTAAACACTCGCAGTTAGCAGCAGAATTTCACATGTATTTATTTGTGTTTGAAACTTTAATGTGAAGATTTTTTTTCTACAGCAGCATTCACACATTTTATAACATTAGTATTACAATGCGATGTAAATTGGTGCCTCCTGCTAACCTCTTGTTGTAGAGACATAACTGCTACGCCTTTTCTAATCCTTGACACAACGTCATGAATTGTTTTGTAAGTGATAACATTTGAAGGAAATCATTAAATACAGTCTTGAAATAAGTACCAGGTGTCTGTAAAGCATTCATTAAGCAGAAGCTATTGAGCGTTTGGATTTTGTACCTGATCTGAAAAATGTAATAAAGCATTTTGCATGACAGCATCTAACTCGCCGACCAGTGTCTGGAAATGGCAGAATAGCAGCGTTCTTTCACTAAACTCTGGTGGACATCAAAGTCTAGCTAAAAAAGCATGCATTGATCATACATTTGTTATAAAGGCCTGAGGGTGTTGTGGAGGATTTTCTTGAAATTCCCCCCCTCTCCACTTTTAAAAAGATGCACGTGCGAGAGCGTGCATGAGCCCATTTCTCCTCGTGCATGTTCTATTTAAAGTTTCTGTTCTCATAGCTCATCAAAGCTTACTGTGCCTGAACATCCACCCTACCCCCTAAATCCCTCAATCGCTATATAGAGCGGGGAATATATAGTTGACTTTAAGTGAACTCTCTTAACTGACCGTTCGGAAGATGATAACTGCTTTTTTCCCCTCCCCATTGGTTATGAAACTCCTCCACTGCGCGGTGTCTCCGCCATCTTTATTAGTCAACGCTGTCAGGTAATGACAGCCTATCGTGACAGCAAATCCCATAATGCGTTGCGAGGAGAGCTCAGCGCAAAGCATTCGGGGATATATCGCCTCTTCTGAGGCCTTTCTTTTCTTCTCATAAATTTCGTAGACACTTTTTCTCTTACGACCCTCGGCCATTTTTAAAGAACCGCCGTGAGAAAGGAGAGCTTCAATGACTGTCTGAAACCGTAGCTCACCATAGATATATGCCTGAATGTGCACATGCACAGTAAAAGATAGAAAACGGGGCGAGCACCTAGGACGGCCTTACGTAAACATATCACCAGAATGATTGACAGTTAGGAGGACCACTTATTTAGATGATCCACCCGGAAATAAAAAATCGTCCTTTATACCTTTAAGATAAAGCCGCACCTATTGATTATTCTGACAACAGATTAAGCTGTCTATTATTTTTTTTAACTAATCTGAAGAGACATAATTTTAGTAAATATTTCTAAATAAACATTTGGAATGTATAGGGAAAAAAACATTTTGTGCATTTTAAATGAATTGCAAATAGAAAAACATTTACACAAATCTATCTAGCTAACTATATAGGCAGCTATAAGGACAAGTTGTACAAATTTTATTTATATTCACAGTTTTGTCCTAATTACTGCTATAAATAGGGTATTCTATAATTGAAGAGCAAATTTTATACTCCACTAAGCCCTGAAAAATAAGCTTTACTCTATTATCTGTAACTGCAGGTGTTGATGGCAGCTGTCCAACTGATATTTCCCTCCAGGATTGTGTTATATCCACACACAGGACCAGACCTGATGAAGGCCACATTGGGACCTCCGCTCCAGCATCTTGATTCCATTTTTGGTCCAGAACTTGACAAGCACACACAGTTATGTTTTGCTTATTAATCTTTTTAAAACATATGCAAAGAAAAAATTAAAGCTACAGTGTGTAATAATAACAGGGATATACAGTCAGAAATGTAATATATTATACATAACTATGTTATTTATCATCATCTACGAGCTCAGCCTCTTAACCTTAATATTTGCGTTGCCTTAGAATTCGTTATTTATAATTACATAGGAGCGGGTCTCGCAGCCATGGAGGCAGACATCTTTGCGTTACGGCAGCGCAGAGCCAACAAACTAGCGATTGCGAGATCGCCCATTACAATAACATGCTGCGTGATGATGCTGTTACTCTCCAGTATACTTATTCAGCAACGTCCCTGACGTTTCACAGGTAATGATTCAAAAACTTTCTGTAAAATAATTTTCTGGATATATACCTCGGTTACTTCTCTCCGGCTCCTTTGGAGATCTTCAAGCCTTTCCTCCTCTGCTCTAGTCACGCCGCTGGCACCTCTCCCTCGCCTGGCCCTGGCTGCACGCCCACCCCGGCCTCTCTGCCCTCTTCCTCGCCTTGTAACCCCCGTGCCACAAACAAGACTTGGACTCTGTAAACGGGGAATATATATTCTTCCAGCGAACACAATCTCGCTGTTAAACTAATGACTACAATTACTTCGTCTGTTTATATCACCATGCAAAGCAGCTCACCAAAACGTCACAACGATGTAGAAAAAATAACGGGTATATTTATTATCTTAAGTCTACATGAAATCTATACCCTACACAGACTAATGAAATACTATCTGTAAAATTATCTATGTAAACAAACCTCATCACTTGAGAAGGTAGGTGATGCGGACGTCTTGGAAGACATTTTGTCCCGTAACGCTTGCCGTACTGTTGGAGGGGAGAAGCGGTGGGGGGAGATGTTCATGTTGCTGCGGTCTGCAGTCTGACCGCTAGATGTCGCTGAAAATTACACACTGTAGCTTTAAATAGTTAAATCTTATAACAAAAAATACCAATAGAAAAGAGATAAAATTCGATGTCATTTAAAGTATGATAGAAACAGAGTTGACTACTCAACATTTATTCAAACAATTTCAGCATGAAAGGTTACATCAGAATGTCATCACTAAAACCAACAGCCAAAACCTAAATATGGCGGTTTGAAGCTGAAGTTTATCAGTAATGGAGGTTTTACAATCACTTGCTCCAAATCACACAAAAGCTTGAGATGAAGATTTAGAACCAATGAACAGACATTCTGCCACAGTGATCACCAAGTTAATAGTTATTTAGAAATCCTATCATATTTGTTATACATATCTTTATCTGATATTAAAGTTTGTGTATATATCAGAGTAGCAATAAAAAGAAAAAGAAAATGTACGGGGTGACGCTTTTCTTTACAGCACTGTATGCCACCTTTTAAAAATCAAGTGTGCGTTTCTATTATTATGATTTTACATAAAGCAGACACTAAGTCCTGTAACAACAGAAGTTACATTGAACACAGTGAACATCCTCTTTCGCCGTCAGTCATTTTCAGGCCGTGCTTTTGAACTGTTCGGTCTGCATCGAATGTCTCCTCATCAGTATTCTTCTCGTCGGTTCCTTGGGGTGTCCTGGGGGAGCGCAGGGAAGGAAACCCTTCTCACCCAACTCTTTTTCAGAGAAGCTGCTCCCGTTGCTTGAACTGTTATTGGAAAGATTAAAGGTGGGGTTTTTGGTTAGTGGTGGCAGAGATCTAGGCCTGGCCTGATTGCTGTGGTCTAACAGGAACGTCCCAGAGCCTCTGCGCTCATACAGAGAGAAAACTCTTTTGTTGATGCCTTTCAGAGACTCTCTGGAGCCCATTGTGGTTGAGCAACGCAGTGGGGCCAGTTTCTTGCCGTCTAATGGGGCCCTTTCTCTGTGTTCTTCTAAAATATGTTTATTATCCACAGCTAGCTGTGGGTCAGAGCCATAGATGTCTGCACTAAGCTTCTTCGTCTGGATGACATTATTAAGGCTCGATGAGGCCATGCTATGAAAGGTTGCACCAAGGTTGCTGCTACTACAGAGGGTTGAAGAGCATGCGGCTGGGTCTGAACCGTGAATTTCAGAGTGCAGATTGGGATGAGAGGCAAAGTGGGATGAGAACAGACCTGATAAAGACATCATGTGCCCTTCGTGCTCATTATAGCCACTCTTGCCATAGTCTATGCTTCTATCCTTTGCTAACCTTCTTTCATAATAACTGAAGCTTTTGGGGTTATTGCTGCTGCCCTTCTCCAGGTTGGGAACTCTGAAAGAAACATCTTCAGCCTGGTTAGAAGTTGCCTGGCGCTGATCAGTGAGCAGCGATTCGGGGATCTTTAACCAGGGCTCAGAGTTCAGTCTCTGTAGAGGTTGCTGTAGTCCACTGGGCACCGCTTGTCCGGGTCCTCGAAACCGTGAGGGCGAGCATGGATGAGAGTTTGCACCACAGATTTGCCCTTCTTTAAAAGAAAACACTTGCTTTGGGGGACACAGAGATGATGAAGTGCTCTGAGGGGAGGTGATTAGCTGGATCTCAGAGGGAGACGCTGGAGCTGCTTCTGTAATTGGATCCATCTCTTCAACAGCATCAGCAGCAGGCATGCTGAGGCACTGCTTAGCTGACAGGTTTCCATTCGGAAATGTATCTGTGGTAATAATGATCACCTCCTTCCCCTTTGCCTTGCATGTGTCGAGCAGAAGTTTGAGCACCTTCAAGTCTTCAGCCATGACTGCATAAACCAGCGCTGATGTCCCAGACTGGTCCTCTAAGCTGATGTCTGCCCCACCGGAAAGAAGCAGAGATACCACCTCAGGGCCGGCCTGCTCCCGGCAGGCGTGCATCAGCGCAGAGCGTCCGTCCTTATCCTGAATGTTAGGATCTGCCCCTC